ACGCTGCATGCTGTATCAGATGGAGCCACTGTTTCCGAATGTATTCCGCCTTGATCATCTATAGTATGCTCATTTAGTCACTGAAAAAAAAAACACCTGCATTGGTTGTACTACTGAGTCATCATGTACCGTCCCAACTGGCGTAGGCGCTCATGCGTCTCCATAGACCACGATCCCTGATTGACTGGAACAGCGCTCTTGATGATATCCCTCCATGCCATCGTTTCTGCCCAGCCAGCATCATCTCTCTTGGTCTGCCTTTACCCCTTTTTCCACTGATCTTTTCAGTTGTCACAATGTTCTCTAGTGTTTCTCTTCTCATTATGTTGCCAAAGAACAGTGTTTTCTCTTTCTTTTTGTTGTATATAGATATCTACTTTCATTAGCTTTTTTCAAGCAATTATTGTTAGTTACTCTGGCGGTCCAAGGTATTCGTAACGTTGGTCTCAGAAACCACATCTCTGTTGCTTCCACATTCTTCTTAATTTGTTCATTGATGTTCTAAGATTCGCTGCCATCAACTTAATAGCTTGGTTAACTAAGAGTTTCATTGACATGGGATGGGCCGGACAGGCACACGTATCACAGTTTAGCCGCAACCACAAATCAATTCGCCGACCTCCCTTTTGAACTAAGGTTAGTTGCGTATCCTTTACATGACGCTGCAGAACCAAACCCAGCAGCCCCTGGCTGATGTATGGCTTCTCTAGGCACATTTTACGTCCAGTAGTTCCCTACTGAACAGAACGTTAGAAAAAAAAGGAAACCTGTATCTTTCCACCTCGTCCAAATAAACTCCCATTGTACAGTTCTTTTATCGGCGTATTTATCATCATCACCATCATCACTATCATCATCGCAGTTGTCCTATTGTGTGTCACTTATGGTTAACAGTCACTTCCTCCATTGGTTTCTACCATCCCCGTGTGGGTTATCGGGTCCCATTTGAGGGGAAGGGGAAAGAACTGACCCACTAACCGCTACAAGCATGCCGCAAAAGGCGACTAATAACAGGTGCTTCCTTCTTCTTCTCCTTTTTTTCTTCTTCTCCTCCTCCTTTTTCTCCTTTTCATAATCATCTCTTCCTCTCCCTCCTTGTCTTCTTCGTTTTTTTTTTTTTTTTTTGCCCACACAGCTGCCTAATCTTGTATACTCTACCCACTCATTGCCTAATCTTGTGTACTCTACCCACTCGTCTTTTTTGCCCACACAACTGCCTAATCTTGCATACTCTACCCACTCATTGCTTATCTTGTATTCTCTACCCACTCATTGCCTAATCTTGCATTTTCTACCCACTCATTGCCTAATCTTGTGAACTCTACCCACTCATGATCTAATCTTGTGTACTCTACCTACTTATTGCCTAATCTTGTACACCCACTCATTTCTTAAACTTGTGTACTCTACCCACTCATTGCCTAATCTTGCATACTCTACCCACTCATTGCCTAATCTTGCATACTCTACCCACTCATTGTCTAATCTTGCATGCTCTACCCACTCATTGCCTAATCTTGCATACTCTACCCACTCATTGCCAAATCGCGTTTACTCTACGCACTCATTGCCTAATCTTGTATACTCTACCCACTCATTGCCTAATCTTGTATACTCTCCCCACTTATTTTCTAATCTTGCATACTCCCTCCACTCATTGCCTAATTTTGTATACTCTACCTACTTATTGCCTAATCTTAGATACTCCCCCACTCATTGCCAAATCTAGTATACTTCCCCCCCCCACTCATCGCCTAATCGTGTATACTCTACCCACTCATTGCCTAATCTTGTATACTCACACCCCTCATTGCCTAATTTTGTATACTCTACCCACTCATTGCCTAATCTTGTATACTCCCTCCCCCCCACTCATTGCCTAATCTTGTATACTCCCCCCACTCATTGCCTAATCTTGTATACTCCCCCCCCCACTCATCGCCTAATCGTGTATACTCCCACCCACTCATTGCCTAATCTTATATACTCCCCCACTCATTGCCTAATCTTGTATACTCCCCCCACTCATTGCCTAATCTTGTATACTCCCCCCACTCATTGCCTAATCTTGTATACTCTACGCACTCATTGCCTAATCTTGTATACTCTACCCACTCATTGCCTAATCTTGTATACTCTCCCCACTCATTTTCTAATCTTGCATACTCCCCCCACTCATTGCCTAATCTTGTATACTCTACCTACTTATTGCCTAATCTTAGATACTCCCCCCACTCATTGCCTAATCTAGTATACTCCCCCCCCCCACTCATCGCCTAATCGTGTATACTCCCCCACCCACTCATTGCCTAATCTTATATACTCCCCCACTCATTGCCTAATCTTGTATACTCCGCCACTCATCGCCTAATCTTGTATACTCCCCCACTCATCGCCTAATCGTGTATACTCTCACCCACCCATTGCCTAATCTTATATACTCCCCCACTCATTGCCTAATCTTGTATAATCTCCCACTCATTGCCTAATCTTGTATACTCCCTCCACTCATCACCTAATCTTGTATACTCCCACCCACTCATTGCCTAATCCTATATACTCCCCCACTCATCGCCTAATCTTGTATAATCTCCCACTCATTGCCTAATCTTGTATACTCCCTCCACTCATCACCTAATCTTGTATACTCCCCCCCCCCCTCATCGCCTAATCTTGTATACTTCCCCCACTCATTGCCTAATATTGTATACTCCCCCCACTCATTGCCTAATCTTGTATACTCCCCCCACTCATTGCCTAATCTTGTATACTTCACCCCACTCATTGCCTAATCTGGTTTTTTAAATGCTGTCAATAATAGAAATAATGATTATTCTACAACAAAAATGAAGTTACTGTACGGTGTCTTGTACATTTCAACGCCATTTCCTTATACACAGTAGTCTGAACAACATTCATGCCATTAACATCAAATGCTGTGATGTATAGGAAGAAATAATTGTCCCGTAAATGCTATTCACAAATAATGACACCGGCTGCTTCTGTGCTAATGGTCGCCCTAATGTTATGGCCAGTATTTGCATCGACACATTATTTAGAAATAATGACAAGTTAAAGAGCTACTTTATACATAGGTGAAGTAGTACATATGTACAGAGTAAGGTTTATTATGTTAAAAACTGGCAATGTGACGTTAGGTTGGCAAATCGTGGATTCTGTGCTTACGAAACTGAGCGCTGAACACTAAAAAAAAAAAAAATGAGAAATAGAGAAGGAAGAGAAAGAGGAAGACAAAGAGGGAGAAAAGGAGGACGAGAAGGAAGAAGCAGAAGCAGCAGTAGAAGAAAAAGAGGAAGACGGAGGAGGAGGGAGGAGGAGAAGAAGAAGAAGAAGAAGAAGAAGAAGAAGAAGAAGAAGAAGAAGAAGAAGAAGAAGAAGAAGAAGAAGAAGAAGAAGAAGAAGAAGAAGAAGAAGAAGAAGAAGAAAAAGAAGAAGAAGAGGATGAGGAAAAGGAGGAGACCGACAGTAGAAAGAAATGGGGAATCCTACAGATGGCAAATCTAATTTAAAGTAAAAATATCAAAAGAAAAAAAAATTACCTGACAAGTGGGGTAACGACAAAGGTTTTACTGTAATACACATTAGACAGCAGAGATTTGTAAAAACAAATTTTAAAAGAGAATCCTGTGAATTTGTTGGTACAACACGATCACCAATGAAGAAAAGAAATAAGGAGGAAAACCAACCGTTTATCACTTGTGGACGTTATCAAAGGAAGAAGATGGAGATAGTTTGGCAATGTTTGCAAAATTCCTTGTGATAATTTGGTACGCTCTCTTCCATCGATCCATAAATTTATGAAAAACAAAACAAACAAAAAATCGACAACGTTCTACCTACTGCGAGCAGTATCGGTTATAACTGTGGTCTGATTTCGTTGTGCCAATAATGTTGGCTAAGAAATGGTAATTGCACCAAAATTAGTGGCTTGGAGTGATACTCTAGTACCTAGTGAGGGCTGTTGGGAAAAGGGGGAGGGGGGGGGGGCTGGTATACACTATACACACCCACACACATATATAGACATACATAAAAAAGAGATACACACACACACACACACACACACATAATACACACATCTGCACGCCCACGTGGGAGTGCACGTATACATGTTTGCACACACACACACAAATGCATATTTCATACACACATACAATCAAGGGAGCCGCTTTGGTGTAGTGGTCAGACGCTGTGAATCGGAAGCGGACAGCGTATGGAAAAAGGAGACGTAGACAAACAGAGCAGTCGTCAAAAAGGACAGTAGAAAGGGAGATAAAGGAGTTAAAAAAAAAAGACAAGGGATACCAAGGATTGTCGAGCAGTAAAAGGGCAGCACTTCTGAATATCTTACGTGTCAACAATGAATTGAGTTCAGTTGTTTCAATAACTCTAGACAGACAGACAGTCAGATGGGTACAGAGATAGACTGACAGGCTGATAGACAGCCCGACAAGCAGACAGACAGACTGACAAACACACAGACATACAAGATAAACAGACAGAAGAATAGAAAGATGCACAGACAGACAGAAGGACACATAGATAGACAGACAGACAAACAGACAGAAAGACTGGTAAAGAGACAGACAGACAGACAGACAGACAGACAGACAGACAGACAGACAGACAGACAGACAGACAGACAGACAGACAGACAGACAGACAGACGGACGGACGGACGGACGGACGGACGGACGGACGGACGGACGGACGGACGGACGGACGGACGGACGGACGGACAGACAGACAGACAGACAGACAGACAGACAGACAGACAGACAGACAGACAGACAGACAGACAGACAGACAGACAGACAGACAGACAGACAGACAGACAGACAGACAGACAGACGTTTAAATCAAGATGTTTAAATCTCAGAATGGTACATTTAACATTTTAAGCAGCAACTCAGAGGGGACAAACCAATCGATCGATTGTACATCTAGATGACAACGTAAACTTCAAAAACAGTTTTTACCTGAGGAACATTCAAGAACTTTTCCGCGGCGTCCATGGCTTCCTTGGCATTGGCTCTGTTTCTCTTAGGATCCCAGCTGGCCCAGTTGGGGCATAGACCTGTGTGAACAGAGAACCGTTTGGTTTAACAACATTCAGAAAAACTACCCAGTTGGGGCAGAGACCTGTGTGAACAGAGAACTGTTTGGTTTAACAACATTAAGAGAAACTACCCAGTTGGGGCAGAGACCTGTGTGAACAGAGAACTGTTTGGTTTAACAACATTAAGAGAAACTACCCAGTTGGGGCAGAGACCTGTGTGAACAGAGAACCGTTTGGTTTAACAACATTCAGAAAAACTACCCAGTTGGGGCAGAGACCTGTGTCAACAGAGAACAATTTGGTTTTACAACATTCAGAGAAACTACCCAGTTGGGGCAGAGACCTGTGTGAACAGAGAACCGTACAACATTCAGAGACACTACCCAGTTGGGGCAGAGACCTGTGTGAAAAGAGAACCGTTTGGTTTAACAACATTCAGAGAAACTACCCAGTTGGGGCAAAGACCTGTGTGAACAGAGAACCGTTTGGTTTAACAACATTCAGAGAAACTACCCAGTTGGGGCAGAGACCTGTGTGAACAGAGAACAGTACAACATTCAGAGACACTACCCAGTTGGGGCAGAGACCTGTGTGAACAGAGAACCGTTTGGTCAGAGAACTACCCAGTTGGGGCAGAGACCTGTGTGAATAGAAAACCCTTTGGTTTAACAACATTCAGAGAAACTACCCAGTTGGAGTAGAGACCTGTGTCAACAGAGAACCGTTTGGTTTAACAACATTCAGAGAAACTACCCAGTTGGGGCAGAAACCTGTGTAAAAAGAGAACCGTTTGGTTTAACAACATTCAGAGAAACTACACGGGGAAGCAGCAGGACCGGGCAAAGACGTTACTATATTCAGAGGTATACCGTTTCCTCGCCATTAAACTAATGAACACAAACTATAACTAGGTGTTGTTGTTGTTCGTCCACCACAAGTGATAAAGACCCCTTTTCATCTAAAGTAGTGATGATCAATGAGGTGGATGATTACTCCAATATGAGCTCGGAAAGTTCTTGAGCAGTGCGGACCACAGGTGGAAGTTGCAGTAAATGTGAGATTAGCAACACGATTCTTTCTAGTCTGCCTCCGTTTCTCTTCATGTGCAACCTTCTCTGCCAGACAGGCAGATGCACCTTTGCTTGGAGGGATGTACTAAGTACCTCAACGCTGAATGGAAGTGCATTGGTTCGATGGTAGACGACTTAGTCGCTGGTCGGGACAGTATTTAGCACTCTTTTGATCGCATCCACACTGCAGGAGTCCTTTTCAGGGCTCTTGTAGGCGAGCAGTGCAAAGCCATTTTATATGGCGCACATAACCTAGTCACAATTATAACAACTGTTTTCCCTAACAAAGCACCCAATAATACAAAGTAACATTTGGCAAAAAATCATCAACAAATAGGACGACAATTATGCTTACAAAAATAAAAAATAACACAGTCAGTTATAATATAATATGTTTCAACAAATAACATAAGGATAACTCAGTGTTCAGAAACGTATCAGTTATATATCCTTCGCAGCAATCTTGTTGAAACTGTTTTTCAGCGCTGACCGGGAAAATGGAATAATTGCTGTCAGTAAACGGCTGTATTAGTCAGTGCTTTATTTGTTATCTGTATATCCTTTACTGCAGTGTTCTTCACATTTTTGACACCGTCGACTCGAAAAGACATAGTAGCTACGTACCACGAAAATCACCACATCTCGTCTAGCGAAATTTCTTACAGACTATCCTACGTTCTAGGGTTTTTTTTTTTTTTGTTATTGTAAAAGCTGTAGGCATTCTATATTCCACGTTGTGAGCGACCATCACATTTAAATGCAGACTGTTGGTTCCTTACTTCTCAGGAAGATGCCCTACGAGTTTTTAATATCCTGAATTATCTCTGTGCTTTTTTGTTTTCTGTGAGTTACTTTTGCTTGTCAGAAGCCTTGATACGACGTCATTTTTCTTCTTCTTATTCTTCTTCTTCTTCTTTTTCTTTTTTTAAGTCTTTGCCGTGTGGCGTTGGTAGTCTTGTCTATCCACAACTTTCTGTCTCGTGTACTTTCTGTCAACTCTGACACAGATGATCCTCTATGCCCTGAGTAAAACTGCCCAGCATCTTTTTTCCCTGTCTCCCTTCGCCTCTCCTCCCCTCCAACTTTCCTGCTATCACAATGTACTTCAGTTTTCTCCTTCTCATCACATGACCAAAGAACGTATATTGTCTCTTTCTGATGTGGAAATCAGTTATCTTCGTGAGTCAGATATACAAGACATAACACATACGGACTGAACTGCTTTCATTATGCTACATTTCATTCGCTGCGGTACTAGCCTCCGAGTCTGTTTAATGTGCCAGCTGTGACACTCTCTCCTGCCCACATCGCTTAGTTAAATGTTTACTGTAAAACTCACCGCTTTCAGACCTCCTGTCTTTTTGTTTCTAGCAGTCAGTTCCAAAAGTCGTGTCCAACTCTAAACATTTCTAACTCAGAAACCGTTCTGATGTAAGTTTTCGAAATATGCATGCAGTCTGTTAATAATCATGCCCCTCAAAGCATTTATCTTTTTAAAACGTAAACAAACCTCTAGTTTTCATTTGTCTCTTTTTTGCCGTATATGAAACCCAGACACCGATTTAAAGCAAGCACTCATCATGCTTACAGTTAACTGAATTTTTCAAAACCTCAGACTGCACGTGTTTTATAGGCGTTTCTTTCTCAGGTGGTCATCTCCAGCATTAGTCTTCCAAGTGTTAAATAAACACAATTTTTATCGTATGCGGGATAGGCTATCAAAATAATCACCTTGCATCGCTGCATATGTGAACTGATTTCCAAACAATCTTCACGTGTGTGTCAATTTTTTTTAGGGGTATACAAATTGTTAGCCAGGCAAAGGTCAAATAAATTTGCCGCTTTAGGAAAAACAGCAGCATCTGTATAATTGTGAATAATAAAATCCAGCCCAAATAGTTGCAGTAAAATCTAGAATACAATCTGGAAATAAAGTATACTATGCCTTCAAAATCTGCTAAAGTCACAGTCTCTATCTCGCAACGCCAAGATCAAAATCTATAAAACGTTGATAAGACCAGTCGTTTTATGTGGATCTGAAACTTGGGGCAAAACTAAAAGAGATGAAGCCTTATTACATGTTTTTTAAGACAGAGAATTATGACGAATTTTTGGATGTAAACAGTGGGGAATGGAGAGCGAGAAGCAACAACGAAATTCATGATCTGTTGAAATCATCATTGATCACTGGCATCATGAGAGCTAATTGACTGAAATGGCTGGGGCGTATTGAAAGAATGTCAGACGACAGGGAGGTAAAAACTGTATGCACAAGGGAGATCAATGGTCTTAGACAACGAGGCAGACCAAGAAGACGATGAAGAGATAATGTCCAGATATATCTGCAAACACTTGGAGTTACCAATTGGAAAGAAAAGGCCAGCCAGAGAGATGAGCGGAGAAGAAGAAGAAGAAGAAGAAAACGGAGAAGAAGAAAACAGCTGCCCTTGCCAAACTGATATAGGATTTTCGTCCAGCGTACTGGAAACAAGCAGTTTAAATGTTTTATTGTTCATGATGTTAATTCTCAACTTCCGCACTATAGTTTTATGGGCCGCTCTAACATTACAGTCAAAATACACATCGATGACCGGGTCGCCCATTGGCTCGCCGGTAGACGATTTTATCACCGGAAGGGAGAGTATTTAGGTTTGTCTCCTTTGATCGCATCAACAATGAAGGGTTCTTTTCAGGGCTCTTGGTGGCGAGCACTGCTATGTCATTTTACCAGGCGCAAATAACCTAGTCACAATTATAACCTAAAGCTTTCTCTTCGGGGATGCTGAGTGAACGTGACGATTTAGCACCTACCTACCTACTGCAGTCAAAAGCATAAACACAAAGATAACGGGGTTGGTGGAGGGGGTGGTGGCGAGGTGGTGGAGGGCGACGGGGTGGGGTGGTGGCGAGGTGGTGGAGGGCGACGGGGTGGGGTGATGGCGAGGTGGTGGAGGGCGACGGGGTGGGGTGGTGGCGAGGTGGTGGAGGGCGACGGGGTGGGGTGGTGGTGGAGGGCGACGGGGTGGGGTGGTGGCGAGGTGGTGGAGGGGGACGGGGTGGGTGGGGGCGAGGTGGTGGAGGGCGACGGGGGTGGGGGTGGTGGCGAGGTGGGTGGAGGGCGACGGGGGGTGGGGTGGCGGTGAGGTGGTGGAGGGCGACGGGGTGGGGTGGTGGCGAGGGGGTGGGGTGGCGGCGAGGTGGTGGAGGGCGACAGGGGTGGGGTGGCGGCGAGGTGGTGGAGGGCGACGGGGTGGGGTGGTGGCGAGGTGGTGGATGGCGACGGGGGTGGGGTGGCGGCGAGGTGGTGGAGGGCGACGGGGTGGGGTGGTGGGAAGTGGTGGAGGGCGACCGGGTGGGGTGGTGGCGAGGTGGTGGAGGGCGACGGGGTTGGGTGGGGTGGCGAGAGGTGGTGGAGGGCGACGGGGTCGGGTGGGAGCGAGGTGGTGGAGGGCGACGGGGTGGGGTGGTGGCGAGGTGGTGGAGGGCGACGGGGTCGGGTGGGAGCGAGGTGGTGGAGGGCGACGGGGTCGGGTGGGGGCGAGGTGGTGGAGGGCGACGGGGTGGGGTGGGGGTGAGGTGGCGGAGGACGAGGGACGGGGGGAAGGACATCAGCTTAGCCATAAGCACATGCGTGACCTCAGTGGCGCCATCTCTTTATGGCGGTACGGCTAGCTGCCTGCCGAGAGCGTCGCACTAGTAACGACTCTGTAGTTCCAGCGAAGATCCCAAGACTACTGCAGCGATTAAGTGAGCGATGCGTCCGTGAAACGACCCACGACCTCTACAGCGTGGGGTAATCAGTTTGACTACTTCGCCACAAAGACCCTTATCAAACAACAACAACAGTAACAACAAACAAACAAACAACAACAGCAACAAAAAACAACAGATATAACAACAACAACAAACAACAACCTACCAGGACCGACAGCGTCAACCAGAGCTCCAATAGCACGACCATCATTCCAATCGGTTGTGAAGTTATTGATGGGCAGGTTGGGCACTTTAGCCTGGATCCAGTTCAGCAACCTCTGCTTGGGAGTAGGTGCCTTTTCTGATGGGGTGGGTTCCTCTCCCTCCCACATGGGCATAGAGATGGAGTAATGGAGAATCAGCGTCCATATCAAACCAAGAATCAGCTTCAGCTTCCTGTCCACGATGTCTGTACTGTCTGTGAATGAGATAATAATAACAGTTGAAGTCAAGAGCATCTATATGGATGTGAGTCATGGGCAATGACAACAGCTTACAGAAGCCAGCGTCAGGCCTCAGAAATGAGATAACTGAGAGAGACGGTCCAAGTGACAAGAAGGGACTAAGTTCGCAATCAGACAATAGTCAAGATCTTGATACCCAGTCTTTACAAACCCGAGTGGATCAGTCACAGCTACGATGGTTTGGACATGTATGCAGAATGGGAGAAAATCGGAGACCATGGCAGGCATGGGAGGCTAAGAACCAGGGAACCAGACCTCCAGGGCGGCCCAGGGTCTGCTGGGAAGACAACATTCGACAGTCCCCAACTGACAGAGGAATAGAATGGAATAAAGCCAGAAGGAAAACTGCTGATAGAGACGTCTGGCGATCTCTCTGGCAAACCTCTACACTCCAAGGTAGAAGAGGAGCGACTAAGTCAGTAAAGTCAAGAGGATCGACTTCATTGCAACGCTTTTATCCCCGTATGGCTCAGTCTATGTCTGCAAAACGGCAAGCCGCTTGTCGATAGCATCACACAAATAACGAAATCCGTAGCTCCAAGCAGTGATCCAGAGGGATCTCCGTAAAAATTGCACTCTCGAAATGAACGGCGCAACAGCGAAGCGAACCACGACCTTCATAGCACGAGGCAAACGGCTTGACTGATAATACAAAAACAGAGATAATACATTTCCATCGTAATTATTTATTGCCTGTCTTCATAACAAAACATTGCCCTCGACCGTTAGGGTCGTGGATGTGCATCGGAGGCGATTATTTCACCCACCATGCGCCGATTGGTCTACAAAATATAAGTCTAGCCCTATATGCCAAATACGCATAATGGCGTGGAAAAGGGCCCTTTATTTTTGTTTCAACTTTATATTTATTCTACGCAGGCAGAATAGATACAGAATAGACAAAACGGTTAATTAGAACACTTGTAGATAGATTTATCGTGCAGTGAAAATAATTATTCAATGCAAAAGTCCTATTTGCATTTTCCTTTATTCGTCTTCTTCTCAAACCTCTTTGGGCTAAACGGGGAACCGTAGTACAGTATGTGTTGAGCAGTTTAAGTAAGAAAACGTTGCTGTGGTCCAATCTAGCTTTAGAAAACATTGCTGTAGTCCAATCTAGCTTTAGAAACATTGCTGTAGTCCAATCAAACTTTAGAAAACATAGCTGTAGTCCACTGAAGCTTTAGAAAACACTTCTGTAGTCCAATCAAGCTTTAGAAAACATCGCTGTAGTCCAATCTAGCTTTAGAAAACATTGCTGTAGTCCAATCCAGCTTTAGAAAACACATCTGGAGTCCAAACAAGCTTTAGAAAACATTGATGTAGTCCAATCTAGCTTTAGAAAACATTGCTGTAGTCCAATCAAGCTTCAGAAAACATTGCTGTAGTCCAATCTAGCTTTAGAAAACACTTCCGTAGTTCAAACAAGCTTTAGAAAACATTTATGTAGTCCAATCAAGCTTTAGAAAACATTGATGTAGTCCAGTCAAGCTGTAGAAAACACGATTGTACGTGGTCTTCTTGCAGATAGTTGACACTGTTATACACAACTACACTACATTCATATATTGAGCGATAAACATCCGTTGACACAATGTGCCACCATTCTGATGAGATCACCCGTGGAGAGTTCCCAAAAATGCCGTTCAACCGTTGGGTTATTTGGGCAGGACTTGAAAATAAAAATAAAAAATTCGTCCTACATGGTGACCTGGAATATGGATCCCTTTTAATGATGGATTCATGAGGATGCCTTTATATGGGTATCTAGTCGCGTCCATGATTCTTCCTCTCAGGCAGATGCACTCAGACTTCAAAGGAAACAACCCTAAGTAGTTGCCTTTTACGACATGCTATTCGGGATAGGGGGCAGTGGATCTATGCTTTTTACTCTACAATAGGGCTCCCGTAACCTACGCCTTAATCAACACCAGTATCCGAGGGAGAATTCCATCTATAACATATGTGTCCAAGGGAAGAGTTTCATCTCTAACACCTGGATCCGAGGGAAGAGTCACATCTCTAACATTTGTATCCGAGGGAAGAGTCACATCTCTAACACTGTATCTTAGGGAAGAGTTGTATCTCTAACACCTGTGTCCGAGGAAAGAGTTCCATATCTAACACATGTGTCAGATGAAAGAGTTCCACCTCTTACACCTGTGTCAAGAGAAAGAGTTCCATCTCTAACACATGTGTCCAGAGAAAGAGTCCATCTATAAAACTTTTGTCTGAGGAAAGAATTTCATCTCTAACACATGTGTCTGAGGGCAGCATTCCATCTATAACACATGTGTCCAGAGAAAGAGTTCCATCTCTAAAACTTGTGTCCGAATGAAGAATTTCATCGCTAACACCTGTGTCCGAGGGAAGAGTTTCATCTCTAACATCCGAGGGAAGAGTTTCATCACTAACATCTCTTTCCGAGGGAAGAGTTTCATCTTTAACATCCGAGGGAAGAGTTCCATCTCTAACATCTGTTTCCGAGGGAAGAGTTCCATCTCTAACATCTGTTTCCGAGGGAAGAGTTTCATCTCTAACACCTGTGTTTAGAGAAACAGTTCCATCACCAACACCTGTTTTCAGAGAAAGAGTTCCATCTCTAACACCTGTGTTCAGAGAAACAGTTCCATCACTAACACCTGTGTCCGAGAGATGTGTTTAATCTTTAATTAGCGACTGTGTCCAGAGAAATAGTTCCAGTTCTAAAAGCTGTATTCAGGAAGAGACTACTAACTTCAACAACTTGTAGTAGGCAGAGGGTACATGAGAGTCACACGCCTAACCTATTATTCCCCAAATTCTCCGGATTAGTCCCAAAGGCCAATTGTGGGGTTGGGGAAAGGGGGGGGGGGGATAAACACACCCCAAAACCCCCAAGGCAAAAGCTGCCAATTACTGCCTGTATTTTACCACTTCTGCAGTGTAGGCAGGGGGGTCCTTCAGCCTGAGGATTGACGGCGGCATTGCTAGTGCTGTCGCCACGACTGTGCAGGTGACGATTTTATTTAGCTCCCGACAGAAAAATTCACAGCCTTACCGAATTTTCGAACCCGGGTCTTCCTCTTGAGAGCCCAGCGGTCTAACCGTTCGGCCAGCTGCTCCCCCCAAGGTGCATATCGTAAAACTCGACTTATTAACGATGTTTCATTCGAAGTCAGTGTGCATCCGCTGGAAAGACAAGGGACCAATGGTTTGCATACAAATAATCTAGATCATACAAAACTCCAGTTGTGGAGATCAGCTACGGGCTCGCCCACTGGCTCACCGGAAGACGACTTCGCTGCTGGTCGGGATAGTATTTGAGTCTGTCACCGCAAGAGTCCTTTTCAGGGCTCTTTATAGGCGTGCAGTGCTAAGCCATTGTATGTGACGCACATTACCTTGTCACAATTATAACCTAAAGCTTCCCCTTCGGGTTTACTGGAGGAACGTGACAATTTTGTTTGGAGCAAAACACCACCACCACAATTAAGTTCCAGACAAAGACTGAAGTTCTGAAGTGAACGAACAACCATAACTTTATGCTGAAGTTTACCGCCAGTGAAAGTGAAGAAGAAGAAGAAGAAGAAAAAGAAGAAGAAGAAGAAGAAGAAGAAGAAGAAGAAGAAGAAGAAGAAGAAGAAGAAGAAGAAGAAGAAGAAGAAGAAGAAGAAGAAGAAGTCCAAATCACAACCTTCCTCGAGATTTTAGGTAATCCTGAATGAAAGTGGCCAAAGTTTTTTGAAAAAGGACGGACTCTACTTCTCAAGATCAGATAACTCGGTGACGAAAGGCTCTCGAGAGATTTCTGATATGTACATTAGAGCATAGTTACGGATCTGATCAAGGAGTAGCGTCTGTCTATCTGTCTGGCTGTCTATCCTTTTCATGCATATAATTTTGTTACCGTTTCTATTTCGAAGAAAACACATGGATACTTGATACGTTTTTCGTAAAATAAGTGACAAAGAGAGAGCAAACAAGACTGGCAGAAAAAGAAAGGGGTAGATATAGACAGACAGACAGACAGACAGACAGACGGACAGAGAGATAGCCAGACAGACGGACGGAGAGACAGATAGACAGACAGACGGTTGGACGGGCAGACAGACAGAAGGATAGATAAATAGACAGACAGAAAGACAGCCAGCTAGACAGACAGACAGACAGACAGACAGACAGACAGATAGATAGATGGATAGATGGATAGATACACAAAAAAACACACACACAAAGAGAGAGAGAGACAGAGAGAGAGAGAGAGGGAGAGAGAGAAGGAAGGAAGGGATAGAGAAGCACTGACCCTAGTAACTGACCATTGGTCCCATTCTGCTGAGAAACAACCGACCCGGCTGCTGCGAGGTACCAGCTAAGTGATTTTTTTGTATCTGTGTAGTATTGTTTGATTTGTATGTGCTGATGAAGGCTCTATAGCCGCAACGTTCACGTTTTGTTTGTATTTGTTATATTGTGAAGCTTGCTACAATACTTTTCGTTCGGTTTTATATCTTTTCTTGACCTTAATAAAGACTCATGAAACCACGTAAAGGCGCTAATGTTGAATTATTTACCAAACATGCAAAGCCAAAACATCTGATTTATATTTACGTGGAAGGGAAAACAGAAATAACCAAGAAGGAAACCGTAAAAACATCAACAAATTATTATCAGTGATCTCTGTGAAAATTGCCGATAAAAGCTAAGCCGTCGATCAAACAGACAACCGACACTTTTGATAAAACAATCTTTCTGCATGGCAAACACGGGCGACGAACTTGGGACACAAACAGTCTCCCCCCCCCCCCCCCCCCCCAAAAAAAAAAAACTGTTTTGTGTTCCCTTCAAGTGTGTGTGTGTGTGCGTGCGCGCGCGCGTGCGTGTGTGCGTGTATGTGTGGTGTGTCTGGAAAAAAAAGGGGGGGGGGGGGGTTAAGGGGCTGTCTTTGTATCGGCGTCTGTGGCTTAGGCGTTGC